TGTTACGTAGATCACAGCAGGGCCCTCTTTATCAGTATATACTCTGTATATAAGAACGTGAATGGCTGTTACCCTGATCACGGGCAGCGCCCTCTTTATCAGTATATACTCTGTGTATAAGAGCGTGAATGGCTGTTACCCTGATCACGGGCAGCGCCCTCTTTATCAGTATATACTCTGTATATAAGAGCGTCAATGGCTGTTACCCTGATCACCGGCAAGACCCTCTTTATCAGTATATACTCTGTGTATAAGAGCGTAAATGGCTGTTACGTAGATCATGGGCAGGGCCCTCTTTATCAGTATATACTCTGTGTATAAGAGCGTGAATGGCTGTTACCCTGATCCTGGGCAGCGCCCTCTTTATCAGTATATACTCTGTATATAAGACCGTGAATGGCTGTTACGTAGATCACTGGCCAGACCCTCTTTATCACTATATACTCTGTATATAAGAGCGTGAATGTCTGTTACGGGCAGGACCCTCTATATCAGTATATACTCTGTATATAAGAGCGTGAATGGCTGTTACCTAGATCACGGGCAGGACCGTCTATATCAGTATATACTCTGCGTATAAGGGTGTGAATGGCTGTTACGTAGATCACGGGCAGGGCCCTCTTTATCCGTATATACTCTGTATATAAGAGCGTGAATGGCTGTTACGTAGATCACAGCAGGGCCCTCTTTATCAGTATATACTCTGTATATAAGAACGTGAATGGCTGTTACCCTGATCACGGGCAGCGCCCTCTTTATCAGTATATACTCTGTGTATAAGAGCGTGAATGGCTGTTACCCTGATCCTGGGCAGCGCCCTCTTTATCAGTATATACTCTGTGTATAAGAGCGTGAATGACTGTTACCCTGATCACCGGCAAGACCCTCTTTATCAGTATATACTCTGTGTATAAGAGCGTCAATGGCTGTTACCCTGATCACCGGCAAGACCCTCTTTATCAGTATATACTCTGTATATAAGAGCGTAAATGGCTGTTACCCTGATCACGGGCAGCGCCCTCTTTATCAGTATATACTCTGTATATAAGAGCGTGAATGGCTGTTACCCTGATCACCGGCAAGACCCTCTTTATCAGTATATACTCTGTGTATAAGAGCGTAAATGGCTGTTACGTAGATCACGGGCAGGGCCCTCTTTATCAGTATATACTCTGTATATAAGAGCGTGAATGGCTGTTACCTAGATCACGGGCAGGACCATCTATATCAGTATATACTCTGTATATAAGAGCGTGAATGGCTGTTACGTAGATCACTGGCCGGACCCTCTTTATCACTATATACTCTGTATATAAGAGCGTGAATGGCTGTTACCTAGATCACGGGCAGGACCATCTATATCAGTATATACTCTGTGTATAAGGGCGTGAATGGCTGTTACGTAGATCATGGGCAGGGCCCTCTTTATCAGTATATACTCTGTGTATAAGAGCGTGAATGGCTGTTACCTAGATCACGGGCAGGACCGTCTATATCAGTATATACTCTGTGTATAAGGGCGTGAATGGCTGTTACGTAGATCACGGGCTGGGCCCTCTTTATCAGTATATACTCTGTATATAAGAACGTGAATGGCTGTTACGTAGATCACGGGCAGGGCCCTCTTTATCAGTATATACTCTGTGTATAAGAGCGTGAATGGCTGTTACCCTGATCACGGACAGGGCCCTCTTTATCAGTATATACTCTGTATATAACCGCGTCAGTGACTGTTACCCTGATCACGGGCAGGGCCCTCTTTATCAGTATATACTCTGTATAGAAGAGCATGAATGGCTGTTACGTAGATCACGGACTGGGCCCTCTTTATCAGTATATACTCTGTATATAACCGCGTCAATGACCGTTACCCTGATCACGGGCAGCGCCCTCTTTATCAGTATATACTCTGTATATAAGAGCGTCAATGGCTGTTACCCTGATCACGGGCAAGACCCTCTTTATCAGTATATACTCTGTGTATAAGAGTGTAAATGGCCGTTACGTAGATCACGGGCCGGGCCCTCTTTATCAGTATATCCTCTGTATGTAAGAGCGTGAATGGCTGTTACTTAGATTACGGGCAGGGCCCTCTTTATCAGTATATACTCTGTAGCGTGAATGGCTGTTACTTAGATTACGGGCAGGGCCCTCTTTATCAGTATATACTCTGTAGCGTGAATGGCTGTTACGTAGATCATAGGCAGGGCCCTCTTTATCAGTATATACTCTGTATATAAGAACATGAATGGCTGTTACGTAGATCATGGGCAGGGCCCTCTTTATCACTATATACTCTGTATATAAAAGCATGAATGGCCCTCTTTATCAGTGTATATACTCTGTATATACGTGAATGGCTGTTACGTAGATCACGGGCAGGACCCTCTATATCAGTATATACTCTGTATATAAGAACGTAAATGGCTGTTACCCTGATCACGGGCAGGACCCTCTTTATCAGTATATACTCTGTGTATCAGTACGTAAATGGCTGTTACCCAGATCACGGGCAGGGTCCTCTTTATCAGTATATACTCTGTATATAAGAGCATGAATGGCCCTCTTTATCAGTGTATATACTCTGTATATACATGAATGGCTGTTACGTAGATCAAGGGCAGGACCCTCTATATCAGTATATACTCTGTATATAAGAACGTAAATGGCTGTTACCCTGATCACGGGCAGGACCCTCTTTATCAGTATATACTCTGTGTATCAGTACGTAAATGGCTGTTACCCAGATCACGGGCAGGGTCCTCTTTATCAGTATATACTCTGTATATAAGAGCATGAATGGCCCTCTTTATCAGTGTATATACTCTGTATATACATGAATGGCTGTTACGTAGATCAAGGGCAGGACCCTCTATATCAGTATATACTCTGTATATAAGAACGTAAATGGCTGTTACCCTGATCACGGGCAGGACCCTCTTTATCAGTATATACTCTGTGTATCAGTACGTAAATGGCTGTTACCCAGATCACGGGCAGGGTCCTCTTTATCAGTATATACTCTGTATATAAGAGCGTGAATGGCTGTTATGTAGATCACTCTTTATTACTTGTCACTGGCAGGTAAAGGGTTAATTAATATGATTCCTCCATTTGTGACTTGTCACTGGCAGGGGAAGGGTTAATTAAGGTGATACCTCCATTTATGACTTATCACTGGCAGGGAAAGGGTTAATTAATGTGATACCCCCATTTATGACTTATCACTGGCAGGGAAAGGGTTAATTAATGTGATACCTCCATTTATGCCTTGCCACTGGCAGGGAAAGGGTTAATTAATGTGATACCTCCATTTATGCCTTGTCACTGGCAGGAAAAGGGTGTGTAGCTGAGCTGACACATCATATCAATCTTCAGTAGCAGGGAAGGGGTTAAAACTCTCTGGTAGTGAAAAGGTTAATGATCTCTGCTATACTGCTCATTATGTTTTGCTCGCCATCTGGTGGAGTATGTTGGAATTGCATGTGTGAGGTTTTTGGCCGCTTGGGGTCTCCGTAGAGAGAGGTTTAAAAGGCTCTGCCTGCAGCACGTGGTTCTCTTTCTCTGCTGACTGCCATGGGAGCTGCATCATAGACATATAGTGAGTATCTTGGTCTACAAAGGGTTAATCTTCTAAACTTTTAAATCATCAATGTCTGATTGGGAAACCCTGCTTTCACTGTGTGTCAATCTATCACTTGATACATTGTCTCAATATTAACTGCAGCTTGGAGCTCAGTGGGATTTCTCAATACTGACTAGCTGTGTGTGGGGTAAGGAGAGCTGGCCCCCCCCACCCCCCCAATGACTAGCTGTGTGTGGGGGTAAGGAGAGCTGCCGAGAGAGAGAGAGAGAGAGAGAGTGAGTTAAGGCGAGCTGGGCCCCCCATGACTAGCTGTCTCCTGCCCACACTAGGCTGTATCTGGTTCTGCCTGGCATATCCCTTGCCCAGGGATGGCATTGCCCCCACAGGCGTTGCAGGCTGGCATGATGTGCCATGCTTGTGTCATTGGGTGGCAGAGATTAACCTGGCTGTGTCTACGCTCGGTGCCCTTCTCCCAGTGGGCATTTACAGATGATTAGCAGCCAGACAGGTTGTGTCCGTGCTTGGCTAGCCTGCATTGACTTTTATTACCTAATGTAGGAGGGCTGGTTTGGTAGAGGGGCTGTAGATGGCTGGCTGAGCCCCCTGAGAATTGTAACTTGGCTGCTGCAGGGCCCAGGGCTGAGCTTTCACTGCTGTATCTCTGTATACCGACTCGCTAAGTGTAATCAGATCAGAGGGGGTAACTCTATATTGGGGTGGTTTGTGATACTTTATGGGGGTGGGTTGGTGGCACAGGGGTCTGTCTGGGCATGGGGGTGGGTTGGTGGCACGGGGGGGTCTGTCTGGGCAGGGGTCACAGGTTGGTTTCAGGCTCATTGAACGCTGACATTGTATCCTTATGCTTTTCTCATTTTATTATTGTAACTAATATCAATTCAAGGCAGAAACCATGTTTGTGCATTCCCTTTTTAATAAATTTAACCATGTCAGTACACTGAGAGCTGGCATTCCATTTATCCCATTGTATGAATGGTCTCTCAAATAGTTACAGTGCACTAAACTCTGTCAGAATCTGGCCTTTTGTTTCACTCTTATCCTAAACTGACAAACTGTTTGTTCTGATTTTCAGCCATGACACCGCCACAAAACAGGAAGTGTGAGGTTCCAAACTGCCCCAGGTACGTCTTCCAATCAGACCTGTGATCTCATTGCCCCCAGAGGCGTTACAGATGTGACTGCTGTGTCACAGATGTGTCATTGGGTGGCATATATTAACTGACTGCGTCTACGCTCGTGTGCCCTTTCTAGTGGGCACTCAGAATGATTACCAGTCATACATACCCAACCCGTTACTGGGTCCTGCCATGGATTGTGTGAATAGAGGTTATTCGATAGAATGTTTATGAAACCCCTGCTCATGTCTTGTAGAATTCTATGACTTTTTTAGTTTATTCTTGGCTGACATGTAATAAGCTGTGATTTGTCCTGGTGGTTGGGATGTAGATTATAGATTTCTGTTTGTCTTGCTGTAGCTGCGGTGGGTTCACAATAATGCTGCCTGCTAGAAGTCTCGCAGACCATCTTGGGGGGGAAATGTAAACTGAAGTAGCAGATTAGAAACTGTTGAAGTGACTTTTTTTTTTTTCTAATGTCCTCTTGTTTATCTATATAGTTTCTGACTTATTGTCTCTCCTACATTACAGGTGAGATGCTAAAAGTATTGGGTGAGTATACACCATGGGAGAGGAATCTGCACCTGGACTTTTGTTTAGCAACATTTAGGGTTTCAAGCTCCGGGATCACCTCTGGAAGCTAAGTGTTTGGGTTTGTAAGGGCCAAAACAACTTTTTAAACTACTGGAGAGCTGCCCAACTCAGAGTAGCTGTCCTAGTTAAAGTGATTATCTTGCAAGCACATGCAATCCTCCATGGATTTCTCTGCTGTACATGCGCACATGCATAAAACTACAGCAGTGACACTGGCTCCTGGCAGCTGTAGTGCCAGGAACAGAAGAGGACCCACCAAAAGTGAATGGTGGTATTGGCAAGGGACAGATTTAGGTAAGTAGAAATCACCTTTGCCTGCCCTCATTGAACCCACAGCAGCAATGGCACCATCAGGTCTTTGCATATTATGCAAAGTTCCTGTACAGTGACGTGCTGTTTTTAAGACTACTCCACAGCCCATAAAGCATTTCAGCTTACTTGACGTGATTTTTATGGAAATCAAACGCCTTGCTGGCTGTCAAACAAAGGAGGCTTGTTTCTGTAGGCTCCCCTTAGTTTATAGAAGTAGATGATGCACTCTACTTGAGCGTGGATGCTTCCCTCGCATACCACCTCAGACCAGTGCTATACTCGGTGAGGAGCCTCTGATTGGCCACATACATGTGAAGATACTTGGTCTCATCTGGGGAAAAGGGAAGGCTTGCAAAGGTGGCTGTTCATAAGAAGCCCTTTAGAGGTTCCCCCAATTAATAACTGTATGAAATACATCTATTCATTGGAGGTACATCTACTAAATGTTCATTTTTTTTTATTTTAAGCATGGAGTGGTCACTTAACACCTTAAGGACACATGATGTGTGACATGTCATGATTCCCTTTTATTCCAAAAGTTTGGGCTTTAAGGGGTTAAAGTATTTGGTTCCCTAAGCTTTAGAAGTGCTGTCGGAGTCATTACTGTAGTGGTCATGGTGCCAGCATGGCTGTTGCCCTCTGCCAAGTAAATCTCCAGAAAACCTGACTATTGACTTGGCCAGTGACTATTGCTTATGTTTATATTGCTAATAAGTATTCAGAGTTTGTAGACTGATTTCACTTGGTTCTGTCTAAAATTAACATCACTGAAAGTGTAATGTCTCTAGTGTGCTCCTGTCATATTGCTGTAATTTATGACTAAATGTACTTGGTCTGTCCTCAATAAAAAAAAATTAAAATACATTGTGTTTATACTCTTTTGTAAAACCAGTATACAGCAGTTATAACCATAGCTCATGTATGCAGTCTGTTCCTTTAATATACAGTATAGATCTAATACAACATAAGACTCCAGCTTGCTAGTCATTCAGCTCTAGAGATGTCATTTAGATGACAAAGTCCAGGTCTGATCATAGCTAGCATCCTGTGGACATCATTCTTAATGAAATTGCTTTAGAGATTTGTCCCAACTGACCCAGTCATCAGTATTTGGATGGGACCTAATGCAACAAATGGAAGTAGAACTGTTCTCTTAAAATGTAACCCTGCCATCGCCTCCTTGAGGCATCCCTTGGGCGTTTGTGGCATGGCCTGCTGCAATACAGTGTTTGTGTGACATCTTTTGTAAGTTCCTGCAAAGATTAATCGCCTGACAAAATCTCTCTTCTAAACACTGGAAATGTCCTCATTAAACGGGCATTATGAGGCCAGAGGTGTGATTAGGCATGCAGCCGCTGCTGGCTGTAAAATGAAGCAGTTAATTGGTAAAAATACACTGCCTAATGGAAAGTCTGCTACATGAATGTTTAAAATAAAACTTCCTGCATTTGCAAAAGGAGCAGATCTGCAAATACTGGATTTCCATTCTGTAATGGGCCATGGAGCTCTGCCACAGGTAGGTTGGCAAACTGCTCAATGGATTTTAATTTCTGCATTGTTACTGTAACACTGTTTGCATTTATTTAATATTGCAAGGGCAGCAAAAGTGCAGATTAATGGGTGCTTGTCACCAATAAATCAGATTAATTAAACCATGTAAATTTCTTTACCAAACAGTGCTTGAGCAAAACTACTAGTAACATTTTGCAAAGGTTTTTAATCTGAGAAGTGGAGTGGCTAGTGACTGGGATTTATAGCAATGTTTCAGTGTAAAGTGCAGGACGCATTTTAAGAACACTTGCTTTTGTAACAATCACATAAACGACTTATTCTGTTAACAGTGACATATCAATGTGGAGCACTGAAGGTTTCAACGCCAGTAGTGAATGGAAAACCAAATAGCTACAATATCAGTCTGTGCTATTTAAGGCCAAATTCTGGCTGTTCTCAGTTCACCACAACTTGTTTAATATATAATAAATACCTAGTAAGTAGTGATGTCCTGAACGGTTCGCCGCGGACTCATCATTGAGTAAACTTTGACCCTGTACCTCAATTGGCAGCAGACCCTCCCACCACCTGGCCAGCATCCATTTTACATTCATTGTGAAGCTGCATTCTTAGTGAACTGTCCAGGGGGAGGGAGGGTCTTCTTCTGATTGGTTGGAATGTGTCTGCTGACTGTGAGGTAGAGGGTCAAAGTTTCATCAATGATGAGTCCGCGGCAAACCATTCGGAACATCACTACTAGTAAGTCTAACTTAAGCTCAAGGTGATTTTATTTTTTAATTTACTAAATTGCCCAAATGCAAAAACAGGTCTACCCCATGAAAACATGCATGCAATTATTTTTATAAGTAGTATTTAAAATGTTTGCTAATGCTATAGATCTTTCTGCATCCTTTGCAAGCCCTCCCCTTCTAACCCCACCCACACTTTCTGTGGCTGCCCAATCAGACTTCTCAAATGCAGCTCAATGTGAAGTCTTTGCAAGGCAGGTGCTCTTGGCAATTGCTGCCTCTTGATTTTAGTTCCATCAGGAAATAAGACTGTCTGACAGACAGGGGGTCTAACAAGGTTAATTGATAAAATTGCCAGTTTCTCCTGAATTCTGGACTTTTTTTGTAGTCAAATTGCAACATTTAGGATAAAGTGTGGAATGTTTCGAGCTGGGCTATAGTCCGTTTGGGTATTTTAATCTGAATAGTTGCCATTTTGATTGCAATATGCTACAGTCCCGCAAATTAAGCTGTGAAACTTTCACTTTAAGATGTTGGGAATTGCAAACTTGAGGCTGAAGTTAACTTCTTAACTGGTTATATTAGAATTGAATTTGCAATTACTTACAGAATTCCTGACATCTCATGAAAAGACCCGAGTCTCACATGTACGTAAATCCTTTGCTATTGCTTCTTCAGTGTTCTAGGAATGATCCCATACAGAAGTGGTGGGTGCATGGCAGTGCTGGTCCTGTAATGTATGTCTGATCCAAAATTGCAAGCTGGAGTAGGCAGCCTTCGGCACTCCAGATATTCTTGACTACATCCCCCATAATGCTTTAACAATGCTGGCAAAGCATCATGGGAGGTGTAGTCCAAAACATCTGCAGTGCCGAAGGTTGCCTATGCCTGACTTAGATCAATAATTCTGATCTGGAACAGCAAATCAAAGTTCACTGCTCTTAACTTGCCACTAGAGGGCACACAAGTACTAGATGTTGGGCAGAGATCATTAGAGCTTATATATTACATCTAAAACTACAATAAAGGCACAGTGGGCTCACAGTACCATAATAAAAATGCCTTGTGCTAGGTCCGTTAAAAGTTACCTTTAGCGGGGGGGGGAGCACTCAACCGTAGCCATTAGGTGTTGCCATAGTGATAATGTCAAGTGGAACGTTCTGCATCCTTTTTATTTTTAACATTGTAAAAATAAGGCTGTTAAAGGCATTATCTAAGCATACTAGTCGATTCCCTTGTGGAAGCCAGACCCCATCTAATCTCACAGGGCAGCAGTTCCTCTGCAATTAATGGGATCTAGCTTTGCATTCTTCACTCGTTGGACGTGTTCTAATTTCCTGTTTGGAGTGCCCTGATCACCCCGATACAGGTTTCTGCAGCCAAGGCAAATTAAATGAAACGTTCACATAAAAGCAATTTATTTACACATGGGGAACAGCGTGGATAAATACAGTGTGGGGAGGGGCAACGATGAATTGGATTAACCTGCAGAAAGAACCGTTTTGGTAAAGCAGGACTTCCTTTTACTCGTTGATCTGTATTCCAATGATAGAAACGTAATATTTACACGCTTATCACCTAATTAGTGAGGAACATAGAACTAATCCTACTGGAGGACATTTAGCTTGTAAACCATTTGTTTCTTTTATAGAATAGTGTGTTAAAGTACACTTAGAACTGAGTAGAACGAGTATATATATATTTTTTATTTCTGATGCATGGTGGTGCAGCACCTTAAATTAAAGGTATCGATATCTGGGACGAAAGCCATAGCCTCCTACCACCGTAACCACTAAAACAAGCTGTACAATACTGTTATGGTGCTTGGAGTGTGCCTTAAGAAGACACTCCACTGCTTAAATTAAAAATAACACTTTAGTACAGGCATAGGCAACCTTTGGCACTCCAGATGTTTTGGACTACACCTCCCATGATGCTTTGTCAGCATTGTGGGTGTAAGAGCATTACGGGGGATGTAGTGCCGAAGGTTGCCTATCCCTGCTTTAGTAGATATACCCCAAAGAAGATGTGCATGCATTTTTTTTTTCCAGCATATCTAAACCGCTTGTAAAAGCTACAGATTTCTTGTCTGCAGCCTTTGCGAGCCCTCCCCTTCTAACCCTGCCCAAGGCAGGTGCTCTGGTCAATTTCTGCCTCTTGAGTCTAGCTCCACTGAGCTAAACAACCAGGAAGTAACAGGACCGGTTTTCTGATTGACAGCCGAGGGGTATAACAAGATTATTTTATAAAAATACCAATTTCTATTGATTTCTCCACCTTTTGTAAAATGAAATAAAGAGGACATGCGCTTCACACATTTGAAGTGTCCCTTTAAGCCAAACATCTCCCATTACAGAAACTGGGAATAACACACACATTTCATCCTACCTAGAATATTCACCAGGCAGTAACAAAGCCATTTGAAGGCCAGAGGGGTTTCTGCCATTACAATTTAATTATCTTCTCACAATGATTAGATTTTCAGCTCTACCTTGCTTTTGCAACTGGTTCACAATTGCTCCAAATTTAAAAGAATCTTGGAGACCAAAGCATGCTTTATATGGAAGTGGGGACACAAAACGGTTAAATTTTATCCCTCATTTCTACAGTACACTTACTGCCCATTTCAACTGGGTTTTTCTTACTGGTGTTGAATCTGTAGAATTAAGCCTTTTCTCCTTAATTTCCACATACAGTGCAGTGGCAAAGTTCTCCTCATTATATTATTTTTACAATTCTAAGTGCATTTTACAACATAATTACATTTCTATAAAAGATGCAAAAAAGTAACTTTTAGAGTTTAGTGGTTATTTGAAGTCATTAGTTCCCTGCCTGTTTGCACGTCTCATTTAAGGGGCAATTTGCCCACCTTACATATACTTCATTAAGAGCTCTGAATGGTTCTAACTTTACAAGACAGTTCTACTGCAAATACCCTCAAGTGCCAGAGCCTTTCCAGGCTTTGCTCGCCACCCTGGTGCCCAAAAACACGACTTCCAGTTGACATTCTCTTTTTAAGAATATTTGGTATTTGATATCTTTTTCCAAAGCAAAGTCTTCAGATTGTTTAACACAAGGGAATGGTGGACTTCCATTTGACTGGCCAGGCCACTAAGCGTCATGCAAGTCCGAAGCTGTTTTTGCAGCTCCTCCTTCAGATCAGACGGGGTACCATACAGCAGGTAGTCCTGCAGCAGTCTACATGCTTTGGCTAAGTTTGGCTGTATAACGTCATTTTTACACTGCTTCATCAGTTTGTCACATGCTGCCGTGCAGTCCCTTCCGAAGGTGCAATCTGAGTTTTGCTCACAGTGCCGGCCTTTTAGAAACCCTTTGATGGTCATCTCCGTGGCTACTTTACGCAAGTCCACAACTTTGAAGTCATACTTTTCGTTGTACCCAATGTTCTTGAAATTTGTCTCACAGATAAAGAAACTGCCGTAGGTTCCGTGGAAAATTTCTTCCACAAACTCCAAGAGCCCAATAGCGATTTTGGCTCTTCGTGGCCACGCAGGAGCAAACCATTGGTGAATGAGTCTGTGAACGGGCGACGGTAAGAAGGTTTGAAGGAAAGCAGGAATTTGAGTTCCGTAAAGGGAATCATGGGGGATTTGCTCCATGACATAAAGATCGCCACAATGTCCGAGCAGCTGGGCTGTGTGTTCCCTCTCGTGTAAAGACAACATTAGGAGAAACTCATTGAGCTGTAGAAGGGCCCAGATGGATTTTGCTTCAGCCAGAGAGACTTTGCCATCGTCATTCACGTCGGCCATGATTAGAATCCGGCTTACTAATACTGTGAGGGATGTCTGGTCTCCTAAATTAGCCTGTTCAACGGAGAGAAAGACACAATTACATTCAGATTTCATTACATAGCTATGCAAACACTGTGTATAAAATGACATTCGTCAACTTTACTGGTTCTCTTTCAGTTACGTATCTGTAAAACACAATGAATTTCACTTTGATACCTCTAACAGCTGTAAGTATAAATATGCCTTGAGCACAATGCATGGGCGTTGAAGGCAAATCATACAATTCAAACAAGCTATCGGTGGCGACTATATTGTATAAAATTTTGGAACCCACTTTGAATTCCCAACAATTCATACTTTACTAAATAACCCGGTGAATGAATACAGAACGACAAGGTAGACTTCTGCTTATTCACTAAACTGAGAACTATGGTAATGTGGCAAGGGAGGTTAACATTTCAGACCTAAAAAATTCCTGTCGATTCTCTACAAATGATAAAGCCATAGTAACTAGATTGTTTGCTAGCCTTCCTCTTTCAACCCCTGAGAATGCTCTCCTGCAACCACATACCTCCTCTCAGTCTGTTTAATGCAAACACCTTTTGTTTTAACTAGTTCTATAGAATGTAACCTATGTTTTTTCCTCTTCCACCCTGCACAGACAGGTTTTATTTATCTGTCCGGCGTGTTTGACTGCATTCAGTCGGCAAAGCTGGCTGAGCTTTAAAATGTTGCTAAAAAGAGGATTAATTCTGTGAAAAATGCAAATGTCCTGATTAGGGGATAAAATATGCAACTCACTATGTGTTCGAGAGATAATTCACAGGAATTTACACAGGCGGATTCTTATCTTATTTATGATGTAAAATAATCTCACTGACACCTACCACGCCAACTACATACCTCCCATATATTTCTCTTTAGAAGAAACATTCCCTATTTCAGACCCAAATCCCTCTGTCCCTCTATTTTTTCCTAAGGTTCCCCTTTACCAAGAGCTCCATGTTGGTGGTGTGTGAGTGTATGGCATAGCTTCATGGCAATAATACCTTAACCGCCAAACTCACTTTTAGGAAACTCAAAAGCATTTCCTTGAACTCATCCATGGAGGTCCCTCTGGTCGGTTTATCAAATAGAACAAGTTCCCTTCTTGAAACAGCATCAGGATTACTCTCGACTTTTACATTTTCTTCTACGCCACATTTAATGATGACTTCTCGGTCTCTCCATATACCCCGGTAGACCTAGAGGTTAGAAATACAGATCATGGAAAGGGTTAATAAGTATCAAAATCATTCAGGGAACACGCCATACACCAAATGTGTAAGACTTTTTTTTCTACATGATAAAAGTGACACTCAGTGTGCTGTAGCTCGCCATTTTGTCTGCTGC